GCCGTGCACAAGTCAGTTGGAGGTACCCCCTCGAAATTTCGCACGTGCAAGACTCACCCCCTCGCTCGCTCCGTTAGTCGCCCCAAAAGGCGCTATACTGGTATAACCCTTATAATCAAACTTTTCGTTTTTAGTTGGACACAGCATTTCGGTCTGCTAAAAAATTGCATTACTTTATGCTAGGGCTGTCATTACGGAGCGAGCGAAGCGAGCGTAGTCTTTCCTTAGATTAACGGAAATTTCTGAGTATGAGCGGCCGGCCGTGCGAACGCTTTTGCGAGGCTTATATCTCAGCAACCACTCGACCGATTTACATGCGGTAAATTTTGTAGGGTAGCTTCATTCCTTCTACCAAGTATTGGACTATTCCCGATGCATGTGGGTGACCCCTTATGCACGTGCCACGTGCAAAACGAAGAGGTGTTCGTTTTGTAGTTGTTGCAATATCTCGGTAACTACTTGGCCGATTGCGCTGAAAGTTGGCATGTAGGTAGGCACCCACTAGGCACTGCATAGTGCATATCCATGTGCCAGAGTTGGGGTGCTGCTGCACGTGCGCACGTGCAGGGGTCGTTTCCAGATCTCGAGAACGGCTCGACCGATTGTGCTCAAATTTGGTACACAGTTAGGGACCGGTTAGTAGGGTGCCGTGCACAAGTCAGTTGGGACCCATTTTGCACGTGCGCACGTGCAGGGTGCCGCTTCTAGATCTCGAGAACGGCTGGGCCGATTGTGCCCAAATTTGGCACATCGCTAGAGACCGGTTAGTAGGGTGCCGTGCACAAGTCAGTTGGAGGTACCCCTTTGCAATTTCGCACGTGCAAGGCCCACCCTCTCGCTCGCTCCGTTAGTCGCCCCAAAAGGCGTTATACTGGTGTATTTTTTTCAGGTGAGAGTGGTGGAAAGCGCTCCACTTATCTGCATCGCAGGGCAGCACAGATCACCGGACATCCTCAGCTTTTACCAGGCAGGTCTACCATTCAGCTTGTTGCACTGAAGGGGATAACAGGACCCCGTACCTACCGCTATGGGTGAAGAAAAACTACAAAAGAAAAATAATAGCATTGCCCTAAACATAAAGATGGGGCTCAGGTAACTGACCAAAAGCTGATAATAAATATCTTACCCGATGGAATAAGATAGTCTCGATGAGACCGAGTAGCTCAGGCTAAGGTGACTAAGGTGACTAGCTCGGATGACAGTACAGACCGAAATTCAGTGCCTACTGAGAGTCATGAGCCCCTCTCTACTGAGAGGCGCCATCCGTCTGAGTTGTGAGACAGGCGGTAGCCTTGGTCGACGGACGATTTTCGCCAGTCATGAGCACTGCGAGCGCCCCTGACGGGCTCCGAGAGATATATTGTCTCGCACACGGAGTGATGGAGTCGGTGCAGTGGGCTGCAATCAATCCTGATTGCTAGTTAACTATCTGGTTCAATCACTCAGCACTGAAAGGCTGAGATCCGTGGTGGCTCGCCCGAGTGACAGCCTAATGGACGCTGAATGCTCGCTGAAGCTGGGTGTGAGTCAAAATTGAACGTGACTCGACTCCATCCAATGTTTCATTGTGAGGCAACAGTCTTCGCATTTTGGTCTGAATTTTCCCCCGGACGTAAGGCGGCTTTGAGCTTGTCGAGTTTCAGCTGTGTTAGGCACAGCATTCTTTCTTGATTATGCACTTCGTTGAGCAGAAATGATTTATAAGAAAAATGAATGATGAAGTGTTGAAGCGTCAGATGTGAAATTGGCTATATTCATCCAACATTCATCGCAAATTGTGATTTGCAGATGCCATAATAATGAAACTAGATCGTGTTTTCAAAAGATCAAAGCTTTTGCGATAAAGGAACAGAGCTTTCTATGGAGCATATTTTGGCCGGGCCGGTGTCAGGTATAGCGATATACTCTATCGCTTTGGCTGCGCAAACACTCCAGTCAACTACACAAACTGAATAGTGAACAAAGTTGTTGAGGTGCTGCTGTATTTACGACCTGGACCATTGTTACACCGTGCCAAACACCTGACACCGGCCCGGTCGGCGCGTGGGGTCACTGCGGCCACTGCGGCCGGGCCCGTCGGCTCAGCTTACCCCCGGGGCTGTAAAAAGCCGCCCTCTGCGCCGCGTCGGCACGGAGCCGTTGTGGTCACCGGAGCCGACCTCCGCTCCTGTTACACCAAGAGCTGCAGGGGCGGGCGGGAGCTGCCGAGACGGTGTCAGATACAGCGGCGGCGGAGGGAGGAAGATGGTACAGTCTGATCGAATCGAGAGCATGTCAGCCTGCACCGTTCCACACTAGGTCGAGCCAATCTAATTACATCATGTCTGACTTTACTATGATATCGGTAAAATGGCAGATAGATGGAAATTAACGTCTACTTTTTTATCAGCATTTCCTGAATGATCTACCATTGATTTTTGACTGATTGTCATCTTATTTGCAACGCCGGTGTTTCCATTCGATATGATTGATTGATACCGATTGATATTTGCACTGAATCAAGCATTGAATATTGAAATTGAAAGGGTGGTCAATGGCCATACACTACTTTTCACACTAACCTTGCATCCTCCTCTTCCGATTTCTCTTTGTCTCGTCGTGCGGCGTGTTCCAACCAATTTCGTGCGGCCTAACTCGGCTCCCCGAGGGACCATTACCGTCCCAAAGTTCTCGCGCCTCGCCAAGTGCAACTGGCCGGCCGCAGCGTCCGTCTAGCTGCGATTCCGTTCACGATTTTCGGAGCGGCTGAGAGGACGTGAGCACGCCGGCCCAGCCCCGCTAACACTGGCACTGTGTTCGATTGTTATTGAAACAAAGGCGCACTGCGATTTGGCCTCGCGAACTGAAATCCACCGCATTCTGAGAGGGTTTCTGAGAGCGCTGTGCAATTTTGAACAGCGTGCTTGACATGCTGAAGGCTTGCAGCGTCGCTCACTGACGTGGCGTCTGAGCTCCATAATAGGGTTAGTTAGCTCTCCCGGATCTGTCTAGGTCAGCGGTGGTCGCCCCCAGGTCTGCCCGGGTCAGAGGTCAGGTCAGAGGTCAGGCTGGTGTCACTTGTCGCTGATTGGCTGACACGTTCACTGCTGGTGTCACTGGGTCAGCTCAGCTGACGTATAATCACCCATGGCAGGCCGCCAACGCCCATCCACCTGTTAGCGGCGCTACTCGGGCCTCCAACGGGCACACGCTCCGGGGAATTGGAGTCACGGGTCAGTCGTCATAATAGGCGCGAAACTATTGGGTGGCATCAGCAAACTGCCGGCGTACTCTCAGGACCGCTCGCCTCTTGGACCGCCCAAGACAGAGCTTGGAACGGAAGGGATTCAGGATAACGGTTTGGGATGATCAGCCGTCATTAAAGGCTTTCATGGCTCACCAAGCTAGGCCATTTTGGGGCTGCGGATTCACCACAGCTGCACTACTGCTGGTGGTCTCCAAGGCAACGACCTTAACGGTTAACTTGGCCGTAACCATGACCCAGGAATGTGTGGCTAATTGCACTGTTCACGAGATGACCCATGTGTCTCAATGGGATGACAAGACGACGGAGTAAGGAGTTTTTACACGAAGGAATTAATAAAGCACATTTGCGCTCGCTTTTACATATGCTCTAGAACCACTTCGTTAAAACGACGTTAAATATGTAAATCAAAGGCGAACATATTTCCCTATTGTTACATTTTGCTTTTCTCTACGCCTTTGAATCTCAAGCATCACTCCTTTTGTCGCCTTTTATGTCATCATTTTATTTCCGCCGCTCCTTATCACATCACCGCCGTCACCGGATTTCACCACGCTCCTTTGTGAGCGACTTTTGTCTTCGTTTTGTCGCCGCCGGCGGCTGACACCTTCAGAGTCTTCCCCCGCGGCTCGTATACGACTGGCGCTGACAGCACCCATACATCTTCATTTGGTCGTGGTGGCCGGCCTGTTATCACCAGAGTGCGCCGGTGATGGGAGCTGACCAGCTGCTCGGCGACACACGGACGCCGTAACGGACACCGACGTCGGACTTAGGTGGATCTCAGGAGTATTTCTATTAATTATGCGGAGCGCAAGAGTAACTCGGGTATTCGTGGCGTTGGCATTGAAACAATTGCGTAGTGATGACTCTCACAAGTCACAAGTATTTTGAGATCCAGAAAGGACGGGACGAGATGAGATGAGATAGCAAGGTGTCTCTCATCACTGATACGAGACACTCGTCCGTCTGTATATAACGTATACCTATCAACGTAATTATAACGTAAACTCATGAGTTACTTTGCCTGAGTTGACTTGAATTATATATGTATTTTTCTCCGTCTGACTCTGGCTGGACCTTATCCCACTGAGTGAACCCCACACTGAGCCTGATATCATTCTGTAGTCTGTGTAGTTTGTGACAATGATCCGGCTGGGGCGCTTAGCTAGAAGTGGCCGAGCTGATACCATTACAGGCCGCTCAGCGTAATCGGCTGCCCTTGTTCGGCGCTTAGGTCCCATTTGGAGACATTTGGAGCTAGGTTGGCCATTTGAATAACAGCTCCAGTGATACGGACTCTGCCATTTGGACCGCGCTGGAGGTGAAACGGCGCCGGTTCACAGCGCGCAATGATGTCGCCTATTTGGGACGCTGGTTGTGCATATAGAGCACGTAGACTCGTGGGATATAAATTTATCCATGCAGTCTGGTGATATTCCATTGCGTATGCTGCTAGTTTGATGGTTGGCCGCCGTTGGTTGAAAGCATTTGCAGTTGCGCTACGTTACCTAATCAGTTCCTCCGCCAGGTCACGTCCAGCTCTGAAACTCCTAGTCCAGCTTATGAGCTGAGCTGTCACGAAAATGCACGGCCTGTCAGCGCCAAGTGTGGAAGAGCGCAGGATGAGAAGCTGAGCCATCAGATTGTGCTGCAGCGATGAAACATTAGGCTGAGGAATCTTGGAACAGTATGACATCCCTGCATAGCGTACAGGGCTCAAAGAATGGTGGGCAAGAACTATGAAAAGGCATACTCACTTCTCAGAGGCTTTATTTTCCCTCGAACGTCGGTATGGCACTAGCCCTGATGCTGGCAGCGCAGCCGCAAATGCAGACATCAGCGAATATATGAACACCGGTTGTTCAGCTAGTAGCAGGCATCTTACAGAGGAAGAAGAGGCTTCTGTCGCAGTCGTAGTCGTCCCATCGTCCGCCGCTGGGGTCCTTGGGGTGCGGCATCCACACACAGTCCTCGTTATCCAGGTTGTCCGGCTGGCCGGGCTGCCAGTTTGTGAAGTCCAGGTCCGCTCCGTCCGACCAGGTGAACTGACCCTCGGCGCCGAGGTCGTTCAGGCCGATCCACGTCTCGCCGTAGTTGTAGGTCTCCATGACGAACGAGTTCTCGACCAGTGAGTGGATGGAGGCGATCTGGGAGCCGTCGCCCACGGTGGGACACGCGGTGACCGCCGCTGACCAGGTGGCGGGGTACGTGGAGCACCAGTAGCAGAAGCCCTCGAACTCGACCCAGTCGACGTTGGTCGGACAGCCGGCGCGAGCGGTGCCCGCTGACAGCAGCACGGTCAGCAGCAGCGACGGCAGCGGCGACATCGTGACGGGACTGCTGCGGCAGGCAGTGGTGGGGACACGACAAAGGGGAGGTGGGATATCAGAGGGAACTACGCTCGGCTATTATGACGTTTTCTCTTATCATGCTCTTTGAAATAAAATTGGTTGTGTAGTGCATCGAATTTATTACAAAACTTATAAGAAAAAATAAACAGCAGAAATGAATGAAATAATGGTTTTCGTGCTTGTCTATACTTAGGCAATAGGCACGAAAACTCAGAATCATGGAGGGCTCAGGGCAATAGTGAATATCGTGGCCTCACCTGATGGGCTGCAACCGATGTCTGCGAAGTGGCTGGCAGCACAGCTGTTTGAAGACACTTGCATCCGGCCTGATATCTAAAACAAAGACATCTGTTCTCATTCCCAGGACACGAGATTCACGTCGCATAAAGCGATGTCTCGTCTCGTCTCGTCAATATTGACATTTGACATCTTCTACGTCAGTGAGGCATGGGATATATTTTACTTTCAATCGGGAACGATACTATTAAAGCACTGATTAAAATAACTTACCTTTGTTCTTTTTTTTTATTTAACAAAAAATTATATTGACATAAAAAAGTTGATTAGATTGTACGACAAATTAGGACAATGTCAGTAGTTAGTAGTTACACAAAAGATGGTCTGCTCTCTGACGACTTCTGTCCACGGCCTCCGGTGCACACCGCGGGTCTCCTTCGCGTGTCAGCTGCCGCCATGTCACAGCCCTGTTGTGGATGATGCTGTACCCACGTCGGCAGAACTTTTTGTGTGGTCCGAGCGCTCCTGTCACGCTAATGTCGCCGTTAACCACACGGCGGTGCGTTATTAATTGGACCATTTTGGCGTGCCGCGGAACTCATTCTGTGCCAGGATAAGAAAAAGGCTGGTGTTACCCGGTGGCAGGTGCTAGACGGGTTATGGTATAGTGCATAGAATGGCAGAAGGGACACTGAGGTTGTTTCACATGTTAATTTGGACTCAATATTTTGAGCTGGAAGTTTGCTGCATTTGTTCATGTTGGTTAGATGAGTCACAGCAATGTCTCTTAACTATAGCTAGATGGTTTCATCTTTTGTGTAATAATCAGTTGAATAAGAATGTCAATATCTCCTATACCATTGAAATGATTTCTGGGCTCGAAAAATAAATATTTTTATTATTGGCTATTGCATTTGATGGTAGTGAATTGATTGCTGATAAGTCTTTCCTCCTGAATTAAATGAATGGCTTTGGTTTAGTCCAGGAGCCAATGTTTGCCTATCCTTTGACCATTAATGTGAGTCCCACTGAGACCCAATGTGTCCCACTGAAGGCATACCGGAGATATCCTGATCTGTGAGACTCGTAACTTAGTCCGCCCAGCTCTGGCGCTTACGTACCTAACACTTGCAATAACTTCCGATAGCCTCGTGAAGCCCACGACAAATAAATCGGAAGAAAAGGCAGTCACAAAACATTGACTTTTTGCACTGATATCTCATGATCTGGTCACCTTATTATTTCAGTTTATGCGTGTTGTGACGCAACGTTCAAACTTCAACCGCAGTCTCTAAACGAAGGCTGTGGACTGTCCCGTCCCAAGCTGTCCCTGTGGTGGGCCTCTGCTCATGTCCACTGTACAATGTCTATGTCTCGGGGGTAAGGCTTGTGGGAGTGGCCCAGTCCACCGGAACCGCTGGCTCACCTTGGTGGTTGGGGGTGGCGGTGGATGAGGGGGTGCTGGACCGTGGAGGCTGCTGCAGCTCACCGTGTCGCAGCCACACCTTACGGAGCGGTCCGAAACCCGGCCCCTGTCCTGCACCCGGCGCGACCAGGGTCGTCCCTCATACTCGTGCACCCTGCGCGTGTAGGACATCCAATGTGATGTCCTAACGTGCATGTATTGCACGTTAATGCTTAAGTGAAGGGTTAAATGATTGCCATTTTTATCTAACCTCCGTTCCTGAATGATTAATGTCGACCTGCCTCGCATAATGGTCTTGCATCTTCTAGCATATAGGTAACTTGACATCGTGGCTATTTAACCGAGGATGGATGCGAGGCTCAATTATTATTGAAAAAGATACACATCTTTCTCAAGCCTGGCGCACAATTTCATGCTCTCGCTGTCGGCGGCTCCTTCATAATAAAGAGGGACTCCTTCCATGGCGTGCTATTAGCCACTTGGAGAGCTGGCCCTGTCATATTACTGCTCCCCGACGCAGAAATGGCCCTCGTAGATAACCACGCGGACCGCCCACCGCCCCCAATGCTCGCCAATTTTATCGCCGTTTCACAAGTGCGCCGGTGCGGGAGCTCCGCCCCTTGGCGCCTAATGAGAGGGAGAGAGACAACAGTAGTCGCTTTTACCAGATAACAGGTGCCGTCAGCCGATGTCAGATTCTAGAAAAATGCCCCTGAGAATTCCCAGTGCGTATTCTGAGACAGGATCTCTTTCGAACGGTAGTCTTTCACAAATGTGTCAGAGAAACACTCTCGAGCATTGATCTCTGGATGTTCCATAAACTACACATTGAATTTTGTTCAAATTACAATGATAACCCGTTACTTCAACGGGAATTTTGCGTCAGACATTTTAAAGGTCGCAACATTTCACGCGGGCAATGTGAAATTATTCAGGCTCTCCTGAAGCGTGTAATTCAATTTAGCCCATTACCTGGTGAGCGTCTGGACGGGCGGCCTTATCTGCCTCTGGGAGTCCCTAATCAGCCTCTCTCCGTCATACCTGCCGCGGAGGGAGACCGATTTCGGGCAGGAACGAGCCGGAAATTCACACAACAGATGATGAAAATGGCGGTTGAAGTGGCGGAATCAGCCTGACTGTGAAATTCAAACATAAAACAGGTTGTCGGATGAACTATGCAGTGAAATGAGCTATGTCAGACAATACGGCACTTCACTGTACAGAGCTATGTGCTCAGTATTAACTTCTAGCGCTACTTTCATTGGCCAAGATATTTCAGGTCATGGAAGGAAATGTGCCAATCAAGCAAAGTTTGACACACCAACAAAAATAAAAAACGAATTAAAACAGACAACAATTTAAAACGAACAGATCCCGTGAGAAGCTTTTGGCTTTACAACAATCAAAACTGTGAAGAAAGCAACAAAGACGTGTCAGCCACGTTTCAGGTTCTGTAGGTCGGGCTCCTCATCGAGCTCCGGTCTGAAGTTTCCTCTCTGGCTCTCACTGTCTGCTCACCTCACAGAATTTCAGTTTCATGCTGAGACGCAATTAAATGGACGAGTGGCAGAGAAGGGTAGCTGTCACGGGCTGTCTAGTCCTCAAACACGAACCAAGGCGACCACAGGCACGAGCGGACGCGGACATTTTGCACGATATTTCGCGGAACAGAGCACCCAGCGTCCCTCGATGTGGCACTACTGACCCGGTGCCCTGACCTTTGACCCTTCGTGGGCCTTTGACCCGAAATGGCCAGGTCAAAGGTTAACCGGGTCCAGAAACATATTGGCGGCGTTATGTTGTCTCATTCACTAAAGGTACTGTTTGCTATTACCGTCTTATGCAATGAAGGATTAGTTTGGTTAATTCTGATACCGTTAGCTGGTTGCCACTTGCCAGAACGTCAGCTGTGCGTTTCATGAGTTAGTAGCTTAGACGTAAATGTGCAACTTATGACCTCCAGCGACATTTAATTAATGTTCCCAGTGCAGCGACCTCAATTAGGTCTATTAGCTTGTTTAAACCAAACGATCTTTTGATATAATGAGCTTTACTGACCATAAAGCTGCGAGCTCCCGCTGGCCATATACCATCTTATTGGTGGCGCAGTATTTGGTCTCAGCAGGGACGGCCTCTCACCTATCCTCGAGTGATTCTGCTCTATGACCTCTGACCTCCAGCTGACCCCAGTCCCAGCGTGACTGAAAAGTCGACAGCCACATGTACTTACATAGTTCGGGACGGGTTCGTTTCAGACCAATGGAATAACGGTCAGGGACGCTTCTCGGTCGCAGTAATAGCCCAACTCTCCCAATGCCAACTGCATTTGATACAATCCCTCGATAGGATCCCATTGTGATATATAAACTGGTCCTTCCGAGTTTGTTTCCCTAATGAATTTGGTCACGCAGCCATCATGGGATCAGGGATGGTGAAGAAACGGGCAGCCGGCCTTATCCTGTGGTTGGTGTGGTGGACAGAGAGACAGTCGGAACAGCACACATGCTTTTGGTGATGTCAATCAATTTGTCGGAAGGAATTGGGGAATATCAGGGACATCTGGTAGGCGGTGTGCAGGCATAGAGACAGATTGCATGAATTATGTAAAATACATTTTAAATCAATGAATGGATAAACATTAGGTACATTATCCAATTAGCCTAGTAACTTGTAACGTCATCTGCTCCAGAATCGTGTTTGCTATTTTGTTTATTATTTCATCTGAGATGTCTTTTATTCCTTTCTGTCGATGAAGACTCTCCACTCTGTCGCGCGCCAGTGATAGTCTCTGATGGCCCTCGCTGGCGCTATTGTTTGCGCGGATCGTTCTGTTGACTCACCGCTTCTCTGCCCGGTGGAGAGAGGCACAGATAATAGGAATCAACCGCCACCATAGCGGCGTATTGAAGATTTCAGACGCCCCCAAGGAATTTCGGCGCAACCCGAGGGGCCAGCGCGGCGGTGCGCGGGCCGGTCTGTTTTGGCGGGACCCGCTCTGTTTTGGCGCGAGGTCGCGTCTGTTTTGCAGTCGGCCGGCGCGGCGGTCGCGTTCGCCTGTTGCAGGAAATTCTCCAATCACTGTGTGGGATCAGCGCGGACGATGACAGCGATGGTCGCGGACCGGACCGGTCGGGTTCTGGAGCCGGGCGCTGGGCGGATGGACTGGGCGAGCACGCCGACTGATGAGCTGATATGTAGCGGGGGAGTACGGCGACAGCAACAGGGTATACGGCCGCCTGTAGCGGGACGGATGCCGGACCAGCTCGGACTTCGTTAGCCCGCCGCGGGCCCAGACAGTCGGCACGGTACACGGTGTCTGCCGCACCCACGACGGGGAGCGGCCGAGGACCGGTGTCCCGCACCGGCTCACAGCGACTCAGCCCATTCACCGAGCACGTGCAGCTGAAGGTGATCGCCGTGTCGACTCACCTCACTGCACAGACAGTATGCGGTCGGGGAGTGTCGCCCATTCACTCTGTCCGGGCAGTGATGTGATGAAGATGTCAGGATTGTGACCGCACCCGCGGCCCCAGCGACCCCGTTTCAAACAGTGGGACAGGCTGAGGTTCCGATGTGTTGACTGACTCAGCTTGTGTCAACCCGTCAGCCGGCGAGTCATGTGCGCGTGTGTGCTAGCGAAGTGGCCACTAACCGCATTCAACGGAA